CTTTATTTGCAGTGTATTGAGCTAACGGCCATAGTACAAATTATTTAATATCAGTGATGCAAACACAGGTATGGTGAAAAAAGAGAGAACTATTCGAAGCAGAAAAAAACAGCGTAATATACCATCTGACAATGACAGATTTTTCTTTTTGGATATTTCACAAATCACTCCCTTTCAAACTCTATTCTTGTTATTTTTAACAACTTTTTTTTGTTACTGTCATATAGTATTTTTATACCTGTTAATAATGTAGTCTCTAATGTCTCATTGATAACTATAATGATCATATCAAGGTGTGCCTTAACCTCACTGAGCTGAGGTTATTCGAGCCTCTCAGGAGAGAGCTCTCTTCCACCTGGTTGTAGAAAAGCTCTTTAAGTTCGTTAGCATAGCTAGCTAACCAGATGCTAATAACAACAGATCGCCACTGTGCTTACAACTAAAGACACAGCCTAGCAAACACTGCGGCATGCGTACGGCTCCTTATGGGTACTGCAATATTTGAAGAGCTGGAGCGGCGTTCCGTTGCTCTCCGTCAGCACACTCCTTTCAGACGAGACATAACCACGTGAAGACCTATGGTGAAGACACGTTACGCTCGTGTTGTGTTCAAGGAACCTGTCCTTGGCCAGGAAAAACAGGCACTCGCTTGTTTAATTACTTTGCAATCTAGATTTATTTTTATTTTTTTAAATGAGAAGTTGTCCGTCGGTCGGACGGACTAACGGACGGACGGACCCCCCCCCCAAAACGAAAACTCTTCGGTTCTCCACGAATTACACAAGTCACCCAAAGCAGCGTTAAAAAAGCGGGAGGCGCCGAAAAGCGACTAATTTGCATCACTGCATTAAAAAGCAAAGATAATAAAAGAAACATTAAAAGAAAACATACATGAATAACAGTTACAGTGCAGTTTAAGATATGAATAGTTCATATGAATGGATAGGTGACCAGCCATGTGATCTATTATGTTTTGCTTCTTCAAACAATACTAAAGTTTAAAATAATCAGTTCCTTACCCGTAGCTCCATCTTTTGCCAGGGCTGCTTCTTAGGGTTGATGCTGTAAATCTTTTTTTGTCTGGCCATCTCCACGTAGGCCTCGTGGCCCTGTCTGAAGTAGTATAACTGCAAACAAACAAACATTATTTTCATTGTGTCTTATTCATATTTCTGGTTATTATGCAATTTTTTTTCTGGAATTGAGTATCTGCTTAGGATAGCAATGTGAATGTGCCCCTTTTTTTGTGTGTGTATGTAATGGCAGATGCAGCCTCGGGGGGACGCTAACTTAGGTGCAGACTATTCTTGTTGCTATGTTAAACATGAGCCAGTGTTTTGGTATTAGCAGACATGTGGTGAGGTTAGTGTAACAGAAGCAGACGGCGTGTACCTCGTCTCCCATCTGGGGTATGTAAGGACATCTGCGGGGGACCGTGTCCGTGATCCAGGCGGAGGGAAGCCACTCCTCCAGAGTTAGCCCTTGCTCCTGGAGATCTGACCTCTGAATGACACACAAGGAAACACATATTCAGGTACAGATCTTTGATAGATTTGAGGTGGAATATTCAGCTTTTTTATTTATTTGTGTGATTTATGAATTGCTTTTAAAATACTGTCTCATTGTATTAGTGCAAATGGATGATAGGTAAAAAAAAAGATGATTTAATAAATGGAAAGCTACCATCTGAAAAACACTGGATAAAATGTTTTTTATTGAAGTTAAAGATCAGATTTTCCCGGAACAGCTGTTCAAATGCATTTGGGAAAACATGGGGCCCATTTTTCCAATATGCTAAGAGGATACATTTCTTCACCAATCCTGATTAAAGTTTTGCACTTTGGAAGGGCACCAACATTGGGATTGTCGTTGGGAGGAGGAAGTGCTGCAGTTTTTTTAATTTATAATTAGTAGTAGTATTTGTGTCAGCTGTTTTCTTTAATTAGTTTATGGCATTAGTTACTTTGCTGTTCAGCAATATTTCAATTGTTGATTTTTATATTTACAGTGAAAATTGTTCCTCCTACATGTTTGTTCTGATATAACAATTGTATGTTTTTGCAAAACCCACGAAACAAAGTTTAAAAAACAACAACAACTCTGAATAAGCCACAAGTAGAGAATAATGGTTATAACTATTGACTAACCTTCCTCTTCTCCTTTGGCTGCTTCTTCTTTGGTACTTCGTCGTCTTTGTCGACCTTGTCCTTCTTTCTATCCTTCTTCCCGTCCCTCTTCTTCTCTCCGTCTTCCTCTGAGCTGCTGCTTTTCTTTTTCACTCTTACACTCTTCTTAGGCGGCTCAAGGTTGATCCCTGCGTCGGCTGTCCAGTCGGAGTAATCACTGGAGTAGTCACTGTGAACACATCAACAGAGAAGATGAAATGCACAGATGTATGTGATGGTATTTCTGTTTCTATGTGGTGTGTGCATGTATCTGTAGGAGATATGATTCATGTGTTTGATAAACAGGACTGTGTCTTACCTTGAACTACTGTGGTCTTCCGGCCAGGGTTCTTTTTGCTGCTCCTCCTTCTCCTCATCGGAGGAATGCCCATTGATTTGACGAACATCCAGCTCTCCCTGGGAACCCATATTGTTTTATGTTAGAACCCCCAAGGTTAACAATCATTTCCTTAAACCACATGTGTCAAACTCAAGGCCCAGGGGCCAAATCCGGCCCTTGGTGGATTTAATTTCGGCCCACAGGATAATTTCGAGGGGTGTTGAAAATAATCGTTTCTACGATGCATTGCAACGCGGACGATTCGGTATCGATGCAGTGACGGAAGATAATCGATTATAGCGTAGTAACGTTGCTTCCTGATTTTCCGGCCGCGGCTTTACTATAACGTTTTTTTTTCTGTCACTTTAATATCAAATCGGTCGGTGACGCAGAGATCAGGGAACAGACGTGACAGCGGCACAGCAACACCAAACACGGAGCAGTCTGCTTTATCCACCAACACAAGAACACCAGTCCAGAACCAACAGCAGAAGGACCCGCTCTGAATCACTCCGTGTCGCTGCGGCTCAGAGTCACAGGGATTTATGTTTTTCAAAAATAATCGCGTTACAATCATGTCAGGTTTTTGGTGGATTTAATTAAGTCTTGGATTGCAGAGTATGAATGTCCTCTAGCAATTTTCAGACGATATATACGTGTGTAAAGTTTGTGAAGGCAGGAGGAAAAAGCTTCCGCGATCACCGTCTCCTCTCCGTTCCTCCAAACCCCGCCCCCTCACTGAAAATAATGAGTGACAGGCTGATAGTAACCTGATAGAAACTTTATTATTCACTTAATCACTGAGATATAATGAAGCTAACTTAATCTCATACATTCATGGGATTTATGTAACAGTAAGACAGAGAATGTAAGTGTGCACCCACATGCAGTATATTTGTTTGTATATGCTGTTGAATACTCCTGTTGT